TTCTATAGTTGGGCCCCTGTATTGAGCCTAATAGTGAAGCTCCCTAAATAAAATGTGAAAATTAAATCTACAGCAGCCTAATAAGAGTTAGATTGGGCTTGTTTTAACACATGCGATGGCATGTTTGTCATTTATAGGAAGTTCCAAACTTGTTTTTTATGTTGTAAATGAATTTTGGGTGTGTTTCTAAAGTTTATTTCATATAGGGGTTTTGTTATAGGAGTCGTTCTATAGTTTGGGCCCATGTATTGAGCCTAATAGTGAAGCTCCCTAAATAAAATGTGAAAATGAACTCTACAATAGTCTGATCATAAAATCCAAAATAATGTCGCACATTCCTCTTTTCGTCTACCTTATTTGTTCTTCATCTTTTGTTCATTCAATGCCAAATTCATGATAGGTTTTGCTCTTTTCACTAAAAAAGAAATTCTAATTTTTTTTTTTCTCAAGCCTTATCATCATAAGCATAATCAAGTGTATTATCGAACATTTTATAAAACATCAAGTGTATTAAACATGAAAAATACATACGTATGTGTACAATACGAGTATTAAACGTGAAAATGCTAAATTATTTATACATATAATAACTTTGGAAAAATAAAAACTCTAAAAAGGGGCAATAGAGACTCGGGTAATAGTCAGTAATGGATAATACTTTAAACTATCAATAAACAAAATTCGGGGAAAAACAATTTTTTAAAATAAAATCAAAGTATCTATGTAAAGAGTATAGCCGTCTATTTATAAAAAATAAATAAAAAAATAAAAAAATCTTAGTAACACCGCGCGGTTATATTTGTTTTTAAAAAAATCCTGCGTTTAGCCGCGCGACTTTACTATTGGTTTCTTAAAAAAGGACCCGCCTAGCGATTCGCCGCCATGTGTCAAACCGGTATAGCCGCTCGGCTATACTATTTTTGTTAATAAAAAAATAGGATACTCTTTAACTATGTTATATTTATAAGGCGTATAGCCGCGCGGCTATACTACTTGGCTATACGGTTTTAACAAACAATCCAAGTATAGCCGCGCGGCTGTACTATTTGGCTATACGGTTTTAACAAACAATCCAAGTATAGCCGCGCGGCTGTACTATTTGTTAAAAAACAAAGTGGACGCGCCTAGAGCCTAACTAGTGGTGGGGCGCCACGTGTCAAAAACGTATAGCCGCGCGGCTATACTATTTTTAACCCTAAGTTTTCCCCGTAAACCAAAATTTTAATCTTAACACTGGTTGGCTATGGAGGAGACATGAATCATGATGCATGGTTACAGCTACACGGAGAGGTTGTTTATCTTCTCTTTTTTTCCTTGTTCAAACTCCATTTCACATCCAAGCATAAGGTTCGCTGGAACGAATTTGAAAAACCATGGTTGAAACACAAGATCAAAGAAAGCACTTGGCTCAGTCCAAGTCAATTGGTCGTTGCATAGTGTCCTTTATCTTCGTCTTCCTCACTCAATTGGTCCTCTCTTTGGTCCCCCGCTTCTTCTCTGCCTCTTCCTTTCTCACCCAACTCGCTCTCTCAGTTCTACTGCTTCTGCTGTTTATGGGTTTTGGTGGATGGTGCAGAAGGAGGCTTCTTCAAGTCCATGCTTCAGCTCCGGCTTTCGTTTTCTTCAACATTCTCTTTATTTGGGGCTTTTACGTCTCTGTTATCAGACAAGGTCAGCTTGATTTAATTCAGTAATTAATTGAAGATTTTGGGTGTTGAACAAACTTGATTGAACAATAATCTATGTGCCCGCCGCAGCTGTGCCACTACTAAACGACGCCGTTTTCAGCTGTGAGGTTGTGTTCCTCGTCATTGGTCTCTATAGGTTGTTATAATATAAGCTACACTTCGCAAATTTGGTCTCCAACTCAATTTGAACTGACAAATTCTAACAGTGACAAGTGGGTTGCTATTGGCAGTATACTTACAAGTGACCCTGGCATTGTAACAAATGGGTCTGCCTCTTCAGACCAACCTTTGAATAGTTCAGTTTCTCAAGTTGACAATCATGATGAGGTTGGAAAATTTCAACTGGGGTTCCATTTTTAAATTTATTTACGGAAACATAGTTTTGAGGAAAAATTTTCTCTTTTCGCGGAACTATTTTATGCCGAAACAAATGGGAGACTCAGCTAATAATCTTATTACTGGTGCAGGAGTTGGAGCTTCCATGTCATGAATCAACTGAAGTAATAGTTTTCATTCTCGCCATTTCTTGAGCATTACAAAATGGGAAATGTTTTATTACCAGACAGTGTAACATCTTAGGTTGTCATATGTAATATGTCATACTTGAACCCATGATGATAAGTTGTTTGTTATTTGAATCTGTGGTAAAGATTGACAGTCAACAATATAGCCCTGTTGATTGTATTGTAATAGAACAGTTTCCTTTAAAGAATACAACTGCTGTGGTATCATACGTATTGTAATCTGGATGCTGGTCATGTACTTTGTCTTTCTCAGGGTTCTGGTTTGGGGACGAGGGTACGATATTGCAGAAGCTGCAAGGCATACATAAAGGGGCTCGACCACCATTGTCCTGCTTTTGGGAACTGTATAGGTAAGGGACATTCTTTGTCTACTAGTATTCTCCATGTAAGTTGTATTTAAAGTTCAAGCTAGCTAGTTAGAAAAACTTATATCCTATGTAATTTCCTTTTAAGTTGGCCCACAACTGATTTTTATGTTGGTTGTATTTACTCCCTAGTAATTAATGATATTATTGTTGCCATTGTTGTACAGGCCAAAACAATCATCTCCTTTTCCTAATTCTTCTGTTTGGGTTTATCTCTACCGAAGCTTCTTATTTAGTATGCGCATCGCTTTGTAAGCTAGCACTCTTGCTGTCACTGATTCTGATCCCAAATTACAGACAATCTTGTGTTTTCCTGTTCAATGTCTTTCCAAAATTACTTTGTTTTACATTCTATTACTCATTTTTGGATCCATATGCTATTTTCTCAGTTGCTGCCAAATCCGGGATCTTAGATAGACCCAGCATGGAGGTAGGTCATTGAACCCTGCAACTGAAACAAATTTTTAATCCAACAGTGTGGCTTTCTGTCACACTTCAGTATAAAATTACATACAGCATAAGTCATCCATGCCTTTGCAACTTACACAGCTTTTCTAAATCAATTGTGTAGCGTACTCTTTCTGAAAATTTAGCTGTTAGCACAATTCTGTTCACAATTCTCCAACTGGTATGGCAGGTATGTATCACTAATGCTAATGTATGAGTTCTGCTGCTTTCTAAATGATATATTAGTAATTAGCTAGCTTCTTTTGAATTCTAATAATCTCCATTGGTGTATGAGCAGGTGGTGTTTGTGATATGGCATATATATTGTGTATGCGTCAACATCAGAACTGATGAGTGGGTAAGTTCCTCAATGATAAACGGATTCTGATGATAAAGGAAAAAAAGAATGGGTTGATGTGGTTGTGGTGGCTGTATGTTCGTGGGTCTGTGTGTTTGAGAAACTGGCAGTATAACATATATCTTGCTCTTATTCGCAATGTCTGACCTTAGTCCAGTTCGAAATAGAGACCCTTCTGAATATTTACTTTTTGGTTTTTACTTTTCTAGATAAACTGGAAGAAGTATCCAGAGTTCCTCCTTGTTGTTCAACCCCAGCCAGGTAAGTGCAAGTCGCAGCACAAATTCTGGATATTCATATTTGTCACAAATCTATATGCATGATATATATCTGATTTTTCGCCCATCCAGGGCAAAGATTCGCGAATGTAAGGTTCAGGAATCCGTATGACAAAGGCATTCTACAGAATGTGGAGGAGTTTCTAGCATTAAGAGCATAGTAGTGTCAATGCCTAACCCAGAAGCCTTGCATAGTTGTCTGCGTAACACTCATGCAAAAACCATTCTCCACTTATTGCTTCCTGTATATTCCAGTATTTGGAGCAACAGGACAAGCATGTTGATTGACGGAAATACTTCGTCTAGCACTAATTTTGTTTAGGAGTTAGTGACCATTCTAGTAGTTGACATAACATTGAAATGGCTCCTCTTCATGGACATACATGTCTTGGTTCATGCAAATTTACAGCCTATATATGTGTATCATTTGTGATTTGTTAACCATATGATGAAAGGTAAATAGCTTGACAATTCGTGTAACCCTTGTAGATGACAATTCGTCTAATAGTTAAACTCATTAATCTTTTAATCATTTTCATCGATCAATGTGACAAATGTGAAATTAGACCACCTCAAAAACGTTAGCTAATTATATTGCTGCAATTAGGATTGTAAGGATAGAAGTGGAATTAAGCCTAAACATACGGAACAAAAGTATAGTTTAGCCAACTGTGAATAGCATGGTTCTCACACCTCATGGAGCCAAGCAAATAAAATGTCTGAATTTCAGAAAGTAAATTTTACTGATATATCATGCAACATCTATTGCTTATTCTATAATCACATTTGCATGATGATAAGCTTCATATATTTGTAGAATATCAAGTTGATAGGCACACATTTGTGGAATGATAGATTTATTATAAATGGAGAACAAACCTTAATAAGTTTGAGATATTGGAGCAAACTAGAAATTCGAAACTATCCTTATAAAGTTTAGGGGTTTAGGGTTTAATTAATATGAACGAAATGGCTGTATTGAAGCATTTCTTGGCTTCATTGAGAAATTTTCAGGATCATTCTTGTGACATGGGATCTTTCATGGTTTCGCCAAAGAGGCCCAAAGATGGAGGGATTTGATCTCCTTAATGGTTTTACAAAAGAGGACCTGGGCCTATGACAAAGCTCCGGAAGATTTTATTTTTTTTATTTCTTTTGGTGAAAAGACGGGTTCTTGCCCAAAAGAAAATACTAAACTACGGCCTGAGGCCTACAAAGATCACACTCATTTATTTTCTAGAATTAGCGATACAATTGCTTGCATTTCTTTAGCATAAGGAAACAATGTAAATTATCGTTCATAATAATCTCAATTTTCCATTTGTTTTTTCCTACATTTCATAAGGCACCAACGAATCTCATCGTTTATTTTTTTTTTTGTCACACATTTCTATTATATTTCAATCATCAAACAGATCTCCAATGACTTTGACCACTAGCAATTTCTATAGCCGATTTTTCCTCTCATTATCATAAAAAAATATAAACAGAGAAAGACCATTTGGGTTTTGTTTAGAGTCAACCATCAATTTCTTATACAACAAAATGTAAAAAAAAAATGGAAGCCAACTTATCTAGACGATTCCACCTGTTTGATAACCTAAGCAGTCCCCCTGTTCAATTGTTGACCAGATATGCAAGAGTGTCCATTCTGAATTGGACTGATTGCTACTTCTACATTATATTTCTTTCCCGTTCCAACACACAACTTGGTTTTCTCAGGGACTTATATTTAATAATTTATTGGATCCCAACAAAATATTTTAATGGTTGGTATATTCTAGACCAATGAATCTTTATATTTTATGGAATCTAATTCCAAAATATCAATGACACGTACAAGTTACAACCACATCAGCTTTCCACCTTGCATATCATATTTGACCCTACTACTCTTACTTGTTCCATTCTCTAACAAAGAAATCAAGAAAATAGAATTTTTCTTTCATAATAAATAATGTTCTTGGTATTCTATCTTCATAATTTAGGACTAATCTTTCAATTGTGGATAAATAATTCGGTCAGACCATTGATTATACCGATTTTGTCTCAAAGTGTAATTTGAATTCACAATTTGACAATATAAATATATGTGACAACGTAAGTCTGGTAAAAGAATATTACTTCTCAAATGCGTATTACAAATTCAATAAATCATATGTTAACTAATACCCAAATAAGTAGAGGAATTAAACGCTAACAAGTTAAAGATCACTATCAAGTGCATTGTCTACCCCTGTGAGAAAACTATTGCTTGAAGAAACTATCTTGAAAAATGAATCCCGAAAGAAAGCTTGACAACGTAGTTGGTATTTTGAAAACATATTGACAAAGACATTCAATATTATGATTACAAGTATTCAAAGGTTAGTCATTTACGTTAATCGTTTACGTGTATATGGATGATTCATAGTCATTGATTGATTGATGAAGAATCAATCGTAAAACTTACGTTAATTAATCAATACGATTAGCTTGTCGTCGACACGTTTAATCATGCTCTTAACACCAGCAAAATCCAAAGAGCAACAAACAAAAACTTCATGATTTCTAGGGAGACGTAAGCTTTTGCTAAATTGGGCTGACCATGCAACTAAATTTGGGAGCAATCCGATTTGCTGTTGTGCAATGCAAGTGGGAAGGCTTTGGGCCGCCTGTGAGGAAAAAAAGACGAAAGCATTAGAGACTTCTCGAAATGTCCTTCTTCCACCCACCCAAAAAAAGAAATGTCATCTAAAAATATAATTATTTAAGTTTAAAAAATCCTGATTTGCGGCTAAATAAATATCTTAATCCAAGTTGGCTACCAAATAAATAACAACCAATGTACACGTACCCTTACGACCTTATAAATTATCCTGGCAAGTCCCTTTCAAAAGTGAAGGAAGCTTCAATGGTGATGACCAATAATATGGGATATTTATTTTCAAAATCGGATAATTTCGAATTGTATTTTAATATTTAAGTTGATTAGATATGTAAGTGGATGATAGACAAAAAAGCATGACTGTTTTCTTGTGGTCATCGGTAGACAGATGCTCCACCACTAGGCATGCACCATTCGATCCTTAATCCTAGTGATGGCTTTTGGCTAAAAATATCCAACTTTGAAGGAAAGAAGGAGTTAGGTGTTAGCACTTTGCATACTAAAATGGGATAGAGGGAATTGCTTTCAACAATTGGTTAACTTATGCGGGAATTTGCTTTTGGTTTTGCATGGGGTATATTCATATTGTTGGGAGAATAAGCAAACTCAAAAGCATAAGGGGCATATAACCAAAAGTGATGGCAGCCAATTTCAAATGGATTGCTTTTATGAGATGGAGTCTCTATTGAAATTAGGATTAATTGCATTTTACTCCCTATAGGTTAGGGTCATTATCGAAATGGGTTCTGGAGTTTTAATTTCATCAATATGAAACCCAACGTTTTTACATTTGATCAAATTACGCACTCCGTCAACTTCACTGTTCGATTTTCTGTTAAACGTTGGGTTTCATATTGATTAAATTGAAAGATGATGGCCAATTTCGATAATGACCTTAAACCTGAAGGGAGTAAAATGTAGTTAATCCTTCAAATTATATATAGCTAGTGGTTATATGCATGGATTTCACTCTATCTATATAGTCATTATAAGTTCACTTATTTCTTCAACAAACATTTTAAATTCATTTCAAAAGCCTTTTTTTTTTTAAATAAATGATTTTGTTAATGAAATATAGGAAAAATTATAATCTTCAAATAAATTCAACATCATGAACAAAGTTTCGGGAGGGTCATCCTCAATATTATAAAGATCAAAACTAGCTAAGATTTGAACTACTCCATTAGAACATGGATAAACTTCAACAATACTGAGAACATATCCGGACTCTCAAATTAGAAAAAGTCGAATAAATCAGGAGGGAATGCTCTCAAAACAAGCTTGTATCTAGTATTTTTCAGATTTTTGGTTAACTGTGAGACCTTGCCAATTACCATGAGACTGTCCCCATAATTAAGAACATTATAAGTAAACCTACTCTAATCATGTGACATTGTTGGTAATTAACTGTGCCCACTGCGCATTGATGCCCAATCATCTTTTTTTATTTTTTAATAATTTAAACCAATTAAGGATGCTCAAACCTAACCTTGGATAGATCAATATTATCTACTCTATTGGCTTAATAAAATAGGATTACCGACATCTTGCCTCCTACAAGCAAGACTACACTTGTACGGTCCATGTTAACCTGAGATTCTGATCCATCAAAAGCAATCAACATCAAAATGAAAATGAAAGAGCAACAGAAAGACAAACAAATAAACCCAAATATTTATTATATGAGATATTATGTAGCTCTTGAATTTGACAGAAATGCCTTGCTTCATTCCAAAAAATTATACAAGCCTCAAAATATAGTATGTGTGGCCCTCCTTGTCCTTGCTATGAGATATAGTTTTCATTGAGGCAATTATAAAGCTCCGGTACCGACAAGATTGTGAAAAGTAAAAGTAAGAAGCGCGATACAGAAAATTCATTCAACAAAATAAAAAACCAGTATGTCTTTTGTTGACGCCAAAAAGTGGTTCAGGACTTTTAAGGGTCAACTTAGTAATTTTATGCCTTCGGTATCCTTGTGGTCTCGGTATAGAGAGCAATCTGCAAAAGTAGCAAACGCTCGGTAAGACCTAGGACACTGGTGTGGTACCGGCCGAAAGCTCTCCGATGCTTAAATAAGTTCGGGATTAGAAAGTTCAACTGACAGATCAATAGGCTTGTATGCCGTAAGTTCTGATTACCTCTATTTTGGGGTAGTTGGCCTCCTTTATAGACCTTGGGAGGTGTGCACTTTGTTGATAATTTCGATGTGGGACTGTGGACGTCGCTTGGGAGCATGCCACGTGTCCCAGGAGGGGGTGTTGCCCTAATGGAGCGATCGGTAGGTAGGGTGCCGAAGGCTTCCCCAACCAGGCTCGATTTCTTCCACGTGTCTTGTTCTCATTGGCTGTTCATTTTGGGTATAAACATCTTTGCTTGATGATTGGTGGGTGGGAACGGAGAGGAAGTAGCCATTCAAACTCAAAGAATTAATCCTCAAACAAAATAAATTGTTTAACTAATCCACGTTTTGATGCTGAGATTGGGAGTAGGGTTTCAGCCTCGTTCTTTTGACCTATGTTCTATACAGTAGGGTTTCGGGTGTGAAACTCTGGACACAGTTGCTCCGAGGTTTGTGTATAAATTGTGTTTTCCAATTAGTCATCGAAGTTTTTTGTACTTAAATAAGATGAGTGCTCTTCCCTTAAAGCGTTTGAATTGCTATTACTCATGACATAGTCAAACATGAAAGAAATCGAAAAATTAGGAAGTTTTGTGTGTATGTGTGTGATTGATCTTTATTTATGTTTCTTTATTACTATTGTCGAAGTAAATTCACATGAAATTATGCTTTTTTCTTACGGTCACTACAAATTTACGGACATTGGTTGTACATGAGCAGCAAATAGCTAATAACCACATTTATTGGTGTCAGTTGTGCT